TACCCCCCCCCCCACCCCATCTCAATCCATTTCTCTCTTTTGCCTTTTGGCCTCCACTCGCTCCCTTCCTTTACCAACTTTGCTGTTGTCTGTATTCAAGTGGCTTCCCACGATGAAAATTGTAATTATTTTGCCTTCTCGGGAGTAACCAAAGAATAAGAGGAGGGGGAGGTGGGGAGGGGGAGTGAATATAAGCAGTAGCACGCATGGCATCTTTAACAGCCTTCTTCTTTAACTCGGTAGATGTCCTCGCAGGCCATTGTATCGTCCCGTCCTTTACCTCAATTCATTTCGACCATTTTGAAATTTCTATGCAGATCAAATCATCAATGACACAAAGAAAGTAAGTAGGTGCCTTCAATCTGCACTCTAAGCCCTTAGGCCTTTTGCGAACGTATTAGTTAACACCCTGAGTCTTCAATCGTATACGGAAGGAGTTAATAGTTATATGCAATGTAATAATTCTCTTTTTTTAATTATTTAAAATTATGATTAGCCTTAAAATCACCTGGGTTCTTTAGCTGATGTGAAGTAAATAATTGGCTTGATTAAGGGAGAAGTTTGTCAACTATGCACTTATCATTATTTAAATATTAAGCTTACTAAATTGGAGATAATTAAAGAATACAATAACTTTAAGGCTAAATTGTTAATATTTTGATTTAATAATATATTATCAATGAGCACTTGTTTGAACTCTTTTCTTATTATCAAAACTTAACAATTTTATCTAACATTTTAAATCAATAAATTGTATTTTTATTTAAATAAATTTGTAATGCAGCATTATTTTAATATTTCACTAATAAAATTTTGGTATTGAAATGAAATATCCCGTGTTTTTTTTCAATTCTATTGTCCTACGTATAGGACTTCACGATTATAAACTGCGCACCCAAACATTCTGGAAGGTGCAACCATATGGGCAAGGACTTCTCAGATAGTCGGCTATTAATTATCCTTCAAATTAAGTTAGATGTATTCGACTGCTTATCATATTTGCAGAGATCATAATTTCAATAAAAGTTTTGCCGCCAATACGTCTCCCTTGATTATATCATTGCCTCTCCAACTAGGAGAACCTGCCATATAGATTACGGTGCATAAATTAAGGTTAATTAATATGGCGATTCGTTGCAATATGTAGTTTCTTTGACCATTTTCAAATGTGTTCACCTAGAGTCGGATAAGTTATGAGATAAAATAGGTTACAACGGGCATGGTTCACGGAAAGTGAGGTTATGCTAACTGTAGGACTTAGCCAAATTTCTTTCACTTGTCAAGAAATCTATAGAAGAGGAGCGAAAACATTTAAATTAGCAATAATTAGTCGTGCGGAGCCAAATTGAGATAGACTAGGTATCTCCTCATAAAATCAATGATCTCATTGATAAATTGCAGGGATTGACCGTCTATCTCGAGCAGAAATTGAGTAATTAAGTAGGAGAGTAGGTTTGTTGGATGACTGGGAGTGAATAAGAGGAAAGAAGGCAAAAGTGAGATGTGGAATTTGGAGAGAAGAAGAAGCAGGCATCACGTTGGGAGAGGACAACTTGAGTTATGCGCAGCGGACGACTTAAGAAATAACAGAGCGGATGGCCCTTTGTTCTCTAAGACATAACTGACACCTAGAACAATGGTTCTCAATACGCAGGGAGGTTGAGTAGCTGGATAGCGTAATTAAATAATACAAGCTAATATGGAGAAAAAGCCTGCATTAAGGTCAAGGTATCATTAAAAAATTACTATGTTGAGCAATCAACTTTATTCAACTTCAGATGGAATTATCGGTTAGTTCGGGATATATTAACTTTTCGGCTGCTTGCGTCACCTTTAATTGCTTTAATTAATGCTTGATCTCAATTAAAAGTTCTTTTGGATAGTGTCAGTTGGTCAAATATTCCTAACATAATATTAGTTGCTTTCTTTCTTAACACTTTTTTTCTGTATTCTTTTATAAAAGTTATTCTAGAGCTAATGAATGCAGCACTCACAGTAAACTGCTAAAGGGTGGAGGTACTATCAACAATCGTTTCACGTTGTTTGTCAACTTACCAAAATGTGACTTCGCCTACCACTTTGAGATCATTTTTTAACGTTATGCTAACGTAAAGTTACCAAGAACATTGCATGTTTCTTACACAAATCATATTTCTGCTTTCATTAAAAAAATCAACCTCAATGTACCAACAGCATTCAGTATGGCCACTTTGGAAAAAGTTGGTTGGAATATGCCAAAATAAATCGACTGGATTCAAACAACTATATTAGCCATGCACATTACTACACAATTTCCAAAGAGCATTGATTTTTATCTCTGATCTGACAGGTCTGCGTGTTGACAGCTGATCCGCTGCTAAAATTTAAGGATGAGTGAGAAAGTTAAAGTCTATCAGCACCCCCCCCTTACCCCCATCCTCCCTTCATTTAGTCGTCAGTTAGTTGGTCACTCTGCTCAGGAGATATAAATTGGAAGATTCTAAACGTGGAACTTCCAACTTCACACATACGCCGATTTGTTGCCATCCACCAGCGCAGCCCAATTGATTTAATCATTAATTGCCAGTTAGAGTTTGTTTGAAAATAAATGGAGTAAACACGGGAAATGTATGCCTGCGAAAATAGTATTTATCGGCAGAGAAAAAGTACATTTTTGTGAATTCGCTCACGAAAATTAAAGATTTCAGTGAAATTGTCAGTTTTAATTAGTTTTTTTTCTAAAACCCAATGATTATTGGATGTTCATACTTTAGTAAGAAAATAATTATTTAAATGTTTTCAAAAGCAATTATTTCGGGAAAAAAAGACGTATATCTAGAATCTCGTTTGCTCTATTTTAAAATTAGCAGTTTTACTACCAATAATTTTAATACACGCACACTGAGTTATCACAACTGGAATAATGCTTCGCAATATTTGTTCTCCTCTACTGCGAAACGCCATCGCACTATCTCGTCCTATCAATGGCCTGTGGAATTGCGTAGAGTGTCGAGGTGTTGGTGTTCGCCGTTGTGTGGTTGTGATTGCAAGTCAATTTTATATGTGCCCGCTAATATTTGAGCGAGCAGAACATGCGAATTTCCCTCCAGACGCATTAAAATTTGGAGTCCGCAGAATCCGCAGGCATCTGTTTCCCCCCCCCCCCTTTTTTCTGTAATTTTTGGGAGAGAGAGAGAAGGTTTTACTCCGCGATTTCCTCGCCTGTAATTCATTCACCCTAAGCATGGAGTCTTTAAGTTCGGCCATTAAGGTCTGCCATTAAAAATGCAAGTTGCAAGCTGCGAAATATGGTTATGGCAAATCGAACTTAAATAATATCATTCAAATGTTCTACTTCAAGTCATTTTAAAGATGTTGTAGTTAGGATAGACCATCAAGGATCACTAAACAATGAGAAGGTAGGGAATTACAGTTGGCAGCTAAATGAGAGTTTGTGATAATGATGTAAAGCGTAATGACTTAATGAAATTCAAACCAAAATTCATAAAAATCGACGTTCCAAGCATCTTGAAATCCCCAGTTGAAAATAATATTTTTTTTCAAGTGAATGACACTGCATTATTTTGCTCCTTAGAAATCTTCTCTTCCTTCTCAGTAGGTGCAATATTGGCAGTAATACATCAACGAGTAAATTTTGCCCAATCATTAGATGTAGTAGCGCTATTAATTTTTTAGAGTAAATTAAGAAATCCTGCTACTACTTTTGCACTACGCCCCTCATCTTTAGTTGATTAATAAGAAATATATTGGGAATCAGTTAATGAAGTAATAATCTGGTCATTATTAACCAATTTTGACTGCACATTATGTTACAGGGAGCTTAAGGGGAGAGGGGGGGGAGAG